ACCAACAAAAAGACCTGGTGATGCAGTGGTTAAGCGCTTGGCTGCTAACCAAAAGGTCAGCGGTTCAAACCCATCAGCCACTCTATGGGAGAAAAGACCTGGCAATCTGCTTCCACAAAGATTATAGCCTTGGAAACCCTATGGGGCAGTTCTACTCTGTCCTGTAGGGTCTCTACGAGTTAGAATTGACTCAACTGCAGTGGGTTTTAACCAACAATATTTCTTCCATTCCGCCAATAGACACGCATAAATTATCCATGCCATTTGTGAATCAGAGTAAAGGAAGTAGTCATCATGATGTAGTGGGAAGTGCCCATGCCCTCCTTGGGCAGATCGTCTACTAAATTAGGTGCAAATCCCAATTTTGTGATTTACTGGACACATGAATAGGATCAGTCACTTCACCTCTTTCAGCCTCAGTATCCTTAGAGAGATGGATAGGATAGTCTCTAAAGTTTCTTCCTATTCTTAAAATCCTTAAAGCCTAATGAATATATAAATTCATTTCCTCAAAAAACCGTATTGACCTTTGAGTTATACATTATGTTGTTGTTGTTGTTAGGTACCTTCAAGTTGGTTCCGACTCATAGTGACCCTATATACAACAGAACCAAACACTGCGCGGTCCTGTACCATCCTTGTAATCATTGTTATGCTTGAGCCCATTGTTGCAGCCACTGTATTAATCCATCCCGTTGAAGGGCTTCCTCTTTTACACTGATCCTCTACTTTACCAAGTATGATGTCCTTCTTCATGGACTGGTCCCCCCTGATAAGATGTCCAAAGTATGTGAGACAAAGTCTTGCCATCCTTGCTTCTAAGGGGCATTCTGGCTGTACTTCTAAGACAGATTTGTTCCTTCTTCTGTCAGTCCATGGTATATTCAATATTCTTTGCTAACACCATAATTCAAAGGCATCAATTCTTCTTTGGTCTTCCTTAGTCATTGTCCAGCTTTCACATGCATATGGGGCTATTGAAAACACCATGGCTTGGGTGGGGCACACCTTAGTCCTTAAAGGGACATCTTTGCTTTTTAACACTTTAAAGAAGTCTTTTGCAGCAGATTTGCCCAATGCAATATGTCATTTGATTTCTTGACTGCTGCTTCCATGGGCGTTGGTTGTGTATTCAAGTAAAATGAAATCCTTGACAACTTTAGTCTTTTCTCCATTTATCACAGATGCTTATTGATCCAGTTGTGAGGATATTTGTTTTCTTTATGTTGATGTATAATCCATAGTGAAGGCTGTAGTCTTTGATCTTCATCAATAAGTGCTTCAAGTCCTCTCCATTTTCAGTAAGCAAAGTTGTGTCATCTGCATAATGTAGGTTGTTGATGAGTCTTCTTCCAGTCCTGCTGCCCCGTTCTTCTTCGTATAGTACAGTTCCCCAGCTTATTTGCTCATCATACAGACTGAAGAAGTATGTTAAAAGGATATAACCCTGACGCACACCTTTTTTCATTTTAAAACATGCAGCATCCCCTTGTTCTCTGCCTCTTGGTCTATGTACAGGTTCCCCATGAGCACAATTAAGTGTTGTGGAATTCCCATTCTTTGCAATGTTATCCATAATTTGTTATGATCCACACAGTCGAATGCCTTTGCATAGTCAGTAAACACAGGTAAACATCTTTCTGGTATTCTCTGCTTTTAGCCAGGATCCATCTGACATCAGCAGTGATATCCCTCATTCCATGTCCTCATCTGAATGTGGCTTGAATTTTTGGCAGTTCCCTTTTGATATACTGCTGCAAATGCTTTTAAATCATCTTCAGCAAAATTTTACTTTCGTATGATACTGTTCGATAATTTCCACATTCTGCTGGATCACCTTTCTTTGAAATGGGCATAAATATGGATCTCTTCCAGTCTGTAGGCTAGTCTGTTCCAAATTTCTTGGCATAGACAAGTGAGCACTTCCAGGGTTGCATCCGTTTGTTGAAACACCTCAGTTGGTATTCTGTCAATACCTGGAACCTTGTTTTTCATCAGTACTTCCAGTGCAACTTGGACTTCTTTCTTCATTACCATCAGCTCTTGAACATATGCTGCCTCCTGAAATGACTGAACATCGACCAATTCTTTTTCGTGCAGTGACTGTATTCCTTTCATCTTCTTTTGATGCTTCCTGCGTTGTTCAGTGTTTTGCCCATAGAATCCTTCAATATCGCAACTTGAGGCTTGAATGTTTTCTTCAGTTCTGTCAGCTTGAGAAATCCCAAGCATGTTCTTCCCTTTTGGTTTTCTAACTCCGGGTCTTTGCACATGTCATTATAATACTTTACTTTGTCTTCTTGAGCTGCCCTTTGAAATCTTCTTTTTAGCTCTTTTACTTCATCATTTCTTCTGTTTGCTTTAGCTACTCAGTGTTCAAGAGCAAGTTTCAGAGTCACTTCTGATATCCATTTTGGTCTTTTCTTTCTTTTCTGTCTTTTTAATGACCTCTTGCTTGCTTCATGTATAATGTCCTTGATGTTATATTCCACAACTCATCTGGTTTTCAGTAATTAGTGTTCAATGCGTCAAATCTATTCTTGAGGTGGTCTCTAAATTCAAGTAGGATATACTCAAGGTCATACTTTGGCTCTCATGGACTTGTTCTAATTTTCTTCAGCTTCAGCTTGAACTTGCATATGAGCAATTGATGGTCTGTTCCGCAGTCGGCTCCTGGCTTTGTTCTGACTGATGATGTTGAGCTTTTCCATTGTCTCTTTCCACAGATGTAGTTGATTTGATTCCTGTGTATTCCATCCGGCAAGACCCCATTTATGTTGTTGAAAAAAGGCATTTGCAATGAAGAAGTAATTGGTCTTGCAAATTCTCCATTGTTGTTTCTATCACCAAGGCCATATTTTCCAACTACCAATCCTTCTTTGTTTCCAACTTTCGCATTTCAATCACCAGTTATTATCAATGCATCTTGATTGCATGTTTGATGAGTTTCAGACTGCACAAATTGGTAAAAATCTTCAATTTTTTCTTCTTTGCCCTTAGTATTTGGTGCATAAATTTGAGTAATAGTTGTATTAACTTGTCTTCCTTATAGGCGTAGGGATATCCTATTATTAACAGCATTTTACTTCAGGATAGATCTTGAAATGTTCTTTTTTAACGATGAATGTAACGCCATTCCTGTTCAATTTGTCATTCCCGGCATAGTAGACCATATGATTGTCTGATTCAAAATGGCCAATACCAGTCCATTTCAGGTCATTAATGCATCGGATATCAATGTTTATGCATTCTGCTTCATTTTTAATGACTTCCAATTTTCCTAGATTCATTTTTCTTACATTCCACGTTTGTGTCATTAATGGATGTTTGCAGCTGTTTCTTCATTTTGAGTCGTGCCACATCAGCAAATGAAGGTCCTGAAACCTTGCCTCTATCCACATCATTAAAGTCAACTTTGGTTTGAGGAGACAGCTCCTCCGCAATCATATTTTGAATGCCTTCCAACCTGAGGGTCTCATCTTCTGGCACTGCATCAGACAAAATTCCACTGCTATTCATAAGGTTTTCCCTGGCAATTTTTTTTCAGTAGACCGTTAGGTCCTTCTTCCTAATCTGTCTTGGTCTGGAAGCTCTGCTGAAACCTGTCCACTGTGGGTGACCCTGCTGGTACTTGAATACCATAGCATAGCTTCCAGCATCACAGCAACACGCAAGCCACCACAGTATGACAAACTGACAGATGCATGTTATGTTTGATATTGGAAATACAAAGAGGAATAAACGTGCTCCTGGCCCGTGATTGTATCAGTGTCTGTCCTATAACATATAAATAATGAAAATATAATTGAAGAAACATAAAACTGATGTCTTACCAGTTGCACGCCACCAAATACATTTTAATATGGACCCACCCTTTATCTTCCTTATTTAGTTAAGGCGATGAGTGTGCTCATTTTCTTTAATCTTCTCTGTGGAGTATAAAAGCTAAGCAAACCAAACTTACTGCCATCGATTCTGACTCATAGCTACACCATAGTGTTTCCAAGGCCATAAATCTGTATGGAAGCAGACCGCCTCATCTTTCTCCCACAGTTTAGCTGGTGGTTTCAAACCACTGACCTTTCGCTTAGTGGTTGATCGCTTTAACCACTGTGCCACCAGAGCTCCTATTATAAAACCAAATGGATTTAAACACATATATCAAAAACCAAGGTTTTTATCCTCCACAAATTTCAGCACTTTGATGCTTAAAGTTGTTGTGCTAATAGTTTTAACTCTTTAGCATTAAGGAATTAAGCAGTGCTGTCCCGAACAGCAAGCAGTTTTATTAAAAATAGAACCAAAATAATGCTATTATTATAGAAAGTAGTTTTGGTGAATGTCTAGGTCAGGCTGTTTTCTGAGTTAGGTTCGAACTCAGTTTTAGAGAGTGTAGTTTATTTGGAGCCCTGGTGGTGCAGTGGTTAAGAGCTTGGCTGCTAACCAAAAAGTCGGCAGTTTGAA